AATATAGAGGGTCAACAGAGAATAAATGGTAGGGGAGATCGAGGAAAGATTGCGCCGAAAAGGATACCTGCGCTATCCTGTAGCTGAACAGGCGAAGGGATGGTGATGTTGCCGCGTGGAATGTGGGGATAGGTAGGTGTTCAGGTTATATTAACTCTCCTCCTTGGGAACTAGGAGGAACATTGAATGCAGTAGCAGAGAATATACGCCGCTGACCGTGATAACCAAGCGCAAGTGAATAAACAGTAAGGGACCTCTCCACAAGAGGGCGCTAACCTTAGCAACCAATACATAAGCTTGGCAACAGGGCGCTAACCTTAACAACCGGTCCATAAGCTTGACAACAAGGCTCTAACCTTAGCAACCAGTCCATAAGCTTGACAACCAGCACATAACCTTGAAAGCCAATCCATGATCTTTAATAACAAAACCATAATATGAACAATACAACCCCGTGATCTTCTTAACCCATAAGCCTAACAACAGAGCTAAGCGTTACAACAAGGTGCTAACCTTAGCCACCATTCCATAAGTTTAACAATAGAGAGCTAACTTTAACAACCAATACATAAGCTTCGCAACAGAGCACTAACCTTATCAACAGGGCGCTAAACTTAACAACCAATCCATAAGCTTGACAATCAGCACATAACCTTGACAGCCAGTCAATGATCTTAACAACAAAACAATAAGCTCAACAATACAACCATGTATCATGCCACGTCTTTCTTTACAATCTTGCTTACAACCTTAACAATGAAAAAATAATCTTGACAACCAGCACATAACCTTGAATGCAATCCATGATCTTTAATAACAAAACCATAATATGAACAATACAACCCCGTGATCTTCTTAACCCATAAGCCTAACAACAGAGCTAAGCGTTACAACAAGGTGCTAACCTTAGCCACCATTCCATAAGTTTAACAACAGAGAGCTAACTTTAACAACTCTCCTCCTTGGGAACTAGGAGAAACATTGAATGCAGTAGCAGAGAATATCCTTCGCTGACCGTGACAACCAAGCGCAAGTGAATAATAGTAAGAGACCTAACAGTAAACATAACATTCAATCGCTAAACCTAGCAACCAAATAATAACCTTAACATCAAAACCATAAACGTAACATTTGTAACGATATACTTGACAATAAATCCATGTGCATGACAATAAAACGCTAAACTATATAGGATCGTTCGAGTATAAGATTTCTTGGATTCTGACTGTATGATAGCATCAACCATTTAAATGCTAATAACCTTATCTATTCCCCATTGTCAATTCTCTAAGTTCCATAAACTATGCTTGAATATAAATGGCTTCCAGCGAAGAGCTTTCCAGCAGCCTATTAAGCTAACGGAAAGCTCTTTGGAGAAGGCCATTCCTATTCAAGCCCATCCGATGGAACTTTGAGATAATGACAATGGGGAATATATAAAGGTAATAATATTCAAAAAAGGTTGATGCTATCATATGGTCAGAACCCAGAAATATTGTAGAAGTCTTCATAAGCGTGAGGGCTAGCCGTGATCTTCTGGTTTATGAGATTGGAGAGGGGAGAGCTTAGGATGATCGAGAAAATAGTAAGGAGAAGTAGAATGGCGGTGATGGGAAGATAAAGAAGATTTAAAGGTGAGGAGAAATGTTATATAGTTCGATTCTGTATTGGAACAATCCAAGGGATGGTGATATTACTCTACTGCCTTGGGAACTATGAAATGCATTGAATGCAGTCAAATCAAAAATATCTCGGTAACCTTGACAGCCAATTGCAAGTGAATAATAGTAACCTAAACAACAAACAAATAAAACTAACAACAAAGAGCAGGTGGATAACATGTGTATAACAGTAAACTTAACATTCAATCGATAAACATATCAACCAATCAAAAACTTCAACATTAAAGTGATAAACTTGACAACCAAATAATAACATTAACAACCAAGTCAAAACTTCAACATTAAGGTGATAAATTTGACAACCAAGTAATAACCTTAACAACCAAGCCAAAACTTCAAAATTAAAGTGATAAAATTGAAAACCAAGTAATAACCTTAACAGCCAAGCCATAAAACCTAACAATTTTAACGATATACTTGACAATTTTAACAATCGGTGATATTGACAGCAAAGAGCAGGTTGGTAACAGGTGTATAACAGTAAACTTAACATACAATCGATAAACATATCAACCAAGTCAAAACTTCTACATTAAAGTGATAAACTTAACAACCAAGTAATAACCTAAACAACCAAGTCAAAACTTTAACATTAAAGTGATAAACTTGACAACCAAGTAATAACCTTAACAACCAAGTCAAAACTTCAACATTAAAGTGATAAACTTGACAACCAAGTAATAACCTTAACAACCAAGCCAAAACTTCAACATTAAAGTGATAAACTTGACAACCAAGTAATAACCTTAACAACCAAGCCAAAACTTCAACATTAAAGTGATAAAATTGAAAACCACGTAATAACCTTAGCAGCCAAGCCATAACCTTCTCACTTGTAATGATATACCTGACAACAAATTCATATACATGACAATAAAACGCTAAACTATATAGGCTCGTTACAGCTTGCACGATTGTGACCCTCCATGTTGCATCGAGAGCACTTAACAGGTCGGGTGTTCAGCGACCTGTTGTTTATTCGTCTAGTGCATGGTCTGCCACGTCTTTTTTTGGTGAGAGGAGGCTTCAACACTCGCTCTTCTGGCGGTACAAAGCGCTTCTCGTAATCTGGGATGAGATAGATGATCGGTACATAGCTTGCTCTGAATGCGTCAACAGTCATGTACCAATCGTAATATTGATAAATTTCTCGTCCCATCCATGAAATTGCAGCGCACGCATGTTTGCAGGGAATGCGAAGGATGTCCCAGGACCTGCAAGAACAAGTCCGATTCTTCAAATCTACGCGGCAAGTTTTATTAGACTCGACCTCCACAATATCTTACGTCGAATGTTTAATTGCCAAGCAGCTACCATGCTGAATGTTATCACTCAGCACCATCTCCGCTTCCGGGCATAAGTATCCAGACCATTTCTGACCCAATAGCCTCCTTTCATGCATGCGCTCCATTATTTTCTTCCGTATGGTCTCAACCAAAGGTAAGATTCGCAACAATCGTGCCTTTCTTATCCAGCTGTTGAAGGACTCAGCAACGTTTGAAGTAACATGGCCATACCTTAACAACAAAACACTAACATTAACAATAAAACCATAAACTAAACATTAAAGGCCTAACCTTAACAACAAATATCCTAAACTTAACAGCAAAACCCTAGCAGAATAACTCTAACCATAACAATAAAAATTTAACCTTAACAGAAAACTGTAGGATAACTCTAACCTAAACAACTATAACAGTGCTGTAACAAAATAACGTTGGGACCAAGCTATCTTACCTTATACCAGGAAAATGCGCGTTTGCCCATCTCTCCGGGGAGTATTCCATTACAGTGACATAAGCCCTGTGATCGATCGCTGCCAATTCTTTCATGTCATTATCCCATTCAGATATTGTGAACTTATAAGCCGCAGATTGTAACAGCTCGCCCAACGTAGTCGCGATATTTGCCTTGTGCCCAAAATCCTTCATCTTTTTTTTGAAATTCTCGACTAGATGCAGAACACACCTTGAATGGAATGCATCTGGAAAGAATTCCTCGACTGCTGCCCTGATACCCTTGTCGGCGTCTGAAATCATTACCAGTCGATGTGGAGGTTGGTAAGGATTTTCCCTATCATACAGTAACGTCCATAATCCTTGTAAGAACCATTTCCAGTTAACCTCATTCTCTTGGTCGCATACGCAATAAGCTAGGGGAAATATTCCCTGGTTGCCGTCATACCCAGTAGCGCTAAGTAGTATGCCTCTGTAACGATCTTTAATAAATGTTCCATCCAAAAACAATAGAGGCCTACACCCAGCAATGAACCCTTCAATACAGGCATTATAACTAATAAACAATCGCCTGAACCTCCCGTCATCAGCATCAATAACAACACGACTCCCTGGATTAGTTGCATGCACCATGGATTCATACCTGCATGAATATAACAACAAAGCAGTACATTTAGCGAAGGATTCATAACCATAACGAATGATCTTCAAACTTCACGACCAACACGTATACTTAACAACGAACCAATAACTTTAACAACTAATACGTATAGTTAGCAACCAAAACGTAAGCAGTAGATTTAGCAAAGGATTCATAACCATAACAACTGATCTTCAAACTTCACAACCAACACATACACTTAGCGACGAACCAATAACTTTAACAACTAATACGTATAGTTAGCAACGAAAATGTAACCAGTAGATTTAGCAACGTATTCATAACCATAACAACCGATCTTCAAACTTCACAACCAACCCGTATACTTAACGTCGAGCCACCAACTTTAACAACTACTACGTATAGTTAGCAACCAAAATGTAAGAGTAATTTCAGAAGAATAAAAAAGATAAGGACCATCTCAGTGAATTGTAAGCCTCATCATCGTCACCGAACAGGTCCTGTTGAGCTGTCTCCTTGCTCCACCACGCTTTACTGTAGTTAATCTTGATGCTAAAATTAGAGAACATGTCGTTCTTGATATCGACCGCATGAAGATCTGGCCTAACCTTCAAAATAGCTTGTATTTGGCTAGCAATGAACTTCCTTGATGCCCTTGAGTTGCCAGCATTTGCTCCATGTTGACCGTAGGTGTGGGTAGACTCGAAATTCTTTATGGACATGATAGATGAATTTCTGAGTGGGGAAGCAAACAACATCCAAGGGCAACCATGTGTGTGCTTGAATCGGCAATAGACTCTTATGCGTCTTTGTTCATTGTGGTAAAAATCATACTCGAACCGTTTAGCAATTGAATAGTATTGAAGTGCTAATCTAACTTCAGCAGCACTATCAAATTTCTGACCAACTTCACGTATGGAGGTGTGCCACTCAGTTGGGATCTTTGTTTGGTGATTAAGCATGTCTTCCAGCAGCATGATCGAGTCGCCGGTGGGGTTGTCATTAGGAATACGCTCATCATTACAGGTTTGGGTGAACGGGGTATCTGCGCACCGCGAATTTTCTGTCGGTATTGTCCTGAAGTATAAATCAAAATACATAGCCTTAGCAACGAACTGATAACCTTAACAACGAACTCATAAACGTAACAACCTACACATATCCTTAACAACTAACCCTTATACTTAAGGGCAGACTCGTGACCTTAACAACAAACGCATATACTTAACATCAAACACCATAACTTAGCAGAAATGTTGGAATTTGTCTCATTAAGTCCTCTAATAAGGTCAGTTAGGGTTTTAATTAGATCTAGGGTTTCTTTTATTTATAGGAGTTTAATTCGAATATTGAGGTTTTTTTTAAAGGGTTTTTCGGCATTGAGGCTTGATATCCCAGGCGCATGGCAAATGCCTCAGGTGATTGTGATTTCTCTAGGTGTCTGTACAAAATATTTTTATATACGATTAATCTTAAGAAAAGAATTAAAATTACCAATTTTATGTTTTTTTTGTGTGTATCTATTATCCAGGGCGGTGTAGATGAAGGGGAGGATCCAAGAGGTGCTGCAATTAGAGAATTGAGAGAAGAGACTGGAGTCACATCCGCCGAGATTCTTGATGAGGTTTGTTTGCTTGTAAATTAATCACAGATCAATAGAAAATGTAAACTATTATTATCATTGTTGTTGTTGTTGGATTCATGTAGTATCCTGTACTCAGTCATGTTTTCGGGGAAATGTGACAATGTGATTTGCTGCCAATTTTCTAAAGATAATAGAAAGGAACAGTGTGCCCATGGGATCAAGAATACTTATTTCTTTTCTTTAGATATATAATTGTAAGTATCTCATAATGCTTATCTCAGGCCTCATGGTCAAGTTCCGTTAAAAGAGATGAAAACAGACTGGCATGCTTGTCTTGACAACAAAATGGGATTCAAGGTGCGACTTTGACTTTTATATTATGTTAACAACTTTGTAGGTGTTGCTTTTTCTTTGTATCAGGGTTTGATAGATTATACTCTTGATGGTCACATTTAGTTTGTATATAAAGTAAATGATCAATGCAGTAAGTTCTCACTTGCAGAACTTCTAACATATGGTCTATCTTCCCTGGCTTCTGTGTGTGTGTGTGTGTGTTTGATGTTTTTCTTTTTTAGGGGGGGTGGGGGGGGCTTCTTAGGTGTCTGGTATCATCAATAACAAAGATATTATCAATGAAGTTGAAAATTATCTACTACCAAAGTATCAGAGCTCTAGACAATCATTAAAACTAAGGACATACACATGAAGCATAAAATCAGAAATCCTATTGTTATGTTCAAGCCAGAATTGTCATGCTCATACAAGGTATTTCCATTTTATAAGATGAGATTGTCATGTTATTTCTGACAGTCTGATATTCTCTTATCATGAATGAAAAATTGGAGAATTTCTTTTCTCTCATTTGATCTTCCATTATGAATGTTGACCTCCATCATGGAGTTCAAGTAATTTTACGGTCGCAATTGTTTTAATTGTGTCATTTGTAAAACGCTAAAATGAAAAGCTCCTTTTCCTTGACAAGCGTACCTTCTCCAGTCTCTGCTATCTGTAAAAAAATTGAAGACAAATGGAATTTCCCAGAAGTTCCTATGGAAGAAGACTAAAAGGTGAAAACTGCTTATGGAGGCAACTAGTTTAGTTCCATGTATCTTTTTGTTTCAGGAGCTTGTGATGTATTTACATGCCCTGAAATTATTTCTTTTTGTCTACAGTGAGTTATAAGCCCCCTCAAAAGTCTATGAGGATAAGGAGTTCAAGTCACTAATTTGGTTGGCTACTTTGCAACAAGAAGAGACCAGACACAGTACAATTTAGTTAAGTGCATATATTCCTCTGTGACATGGTTTCTTGAGCACACAAACTTCATTAATAATATCATTGTTTACAGATCAAAATGTAGGATGATAGTGTAGTTTCTTGAGCACACAAACTTCATTAATAATATCATTGTTTACAGATCAAAATGTAGGATGATAGTGTAAGATGTTTAGGATAGCAATTGAGGCTGAATAAAAAAATTAAGATGGACAAGTCTCTATATACTAAAAATAGGATAAGTAATAAGTACCTCTGTGAGAAATCAACGATAGCTTGCTTTAAGAACAAAATGAGGAGAATTGATTAAGATAGTCAAGAGACATGTACAACGATGATAAATGAATATGCTAATTAGAAGCAATAGCATAACAGGCTTGATACAGCTACAAAAACTGCATCACGCATAAACAAACATGGGTTAGACAGCGACCAGATGGATATGGTTATTGCTAATTTCCTCATATAATGTGCATTTATACCTTTCCTTGTGTACATATACTTGAGTTCATTTGCTTGCATATGCATGACACAATAAAAATACTTCGATATACTTGTCCTGAAACTTTTGGTTTATGGTGGCATGCTTGTCACGTGTTATTGGTAGATAATTCAGAAGAGATATATGATGGATGCATAATTAGCGTCCACATACACAGTACAATTTAGTTAATTGAATTTCGTTTGTGTTTTGTAGAATCTTGGTCCAACTGAACCTCCTTTACTTGTGACTCTCAATCCTCCCTGTACTCCTAGGCATACTAAACTTAAATGGAGGACACGCCATCCTGTTCCTTCAGTGGCAGCATCAAAAGCTTCACTTGAGCTTGAAAAAAATTCAGGGCAAAAGATGAGTAAATTCATGTAATCCCAATAAAACATTGTGAAACTATAGTACTTTCACCTAATGTATGGTTTTTGCTTAAACTGTGCAGGTTGCTAGAAGGAGGAGGTACAAGTTTTGTTTTTGAAGGAATCAACACGAAAAGTCACATGGAATCCATCTTGAAAGTTCACACTCCTTTGTTCTACTGGAAGGTTTTCCCCCCTTTCTGTAATTTTTTTAAGTGACTTCTTGTATAAGTCCTCAATCATTTGGCATAAATCAGCAACAATTATGAATTTGCATCTGATATTAGTGTGGCAACTTACTAGCACTCGTCATGTTTACAGATTGCTACACAAGCTGATTTAGGACTTGAAGATGCATATGTAAATGGATACTTTTTGTACAATTTTTTTTTGGTGATTATAAACATCCCTGACGGGCATGCCGTCAAGGATGTTTATCCCTGACGGCATGCCCGTCAGGGATGTTATGCAAATCCCTGACGGGCATACCGTCAGGGATGTTTATCCCTGACGGCATTCCCGTCAGGGATGTTATGCACATCCCCGACGGGACGGCCGTCAGTGATATTTCAACATCCCTGACGGCGGGAACTGACGGCGGCCCGTCAGGGATGTTTCTTCCCTGACGGGACTTTTTCTGACGGCGTATTCTTGACGGGACGCCGTCAAGGATACATATCCCTGACGGGAAATTTGACATCCCTGACGGGAAAGCCCGTCAAGGATGCCTATTTTTCTACTAGTGTTGGGATCTTTGTTTGGTGATTAAGCATGTCTTCCAGCAGCATGATCGAGTCGCCGGTGGGGTTGTCATTAGGAATACACTCATCATTACAGGTTCGGGTGAACGTGGTATCTGCGCACCGCGAATTTTCTGTCAGTATTGTCCTGAAGTAGTAATAAAAATACATAGCCTTAGCGACGAACTGATAACCTTAACAACGAACTCATAAACGTAACAGCCAACACATATCCTTAACAACTAACCCTTATACTTAAGGGCAGACTCGTGACCTTAACAACAAACGCATATACTTAACATCAAACACCTTATCTTAGGAACAAACCAGTATACGTAACAGCCAACAAATAACCTTAACAACCAGTGTTTAACATAACCTTGACAACCAACACATTACCTAAGCAACCAATGCATGAGGTTAACAACTAATGGCAAAATTACCTAAGCAACCAATGCATGAGGTTAACAACTAATGGCAAAACCTATCAGTAAACTCAAAAGGAAATCTGGGGTGTAATTCCTACGCAGTTTAACAACTAATGGCAAAACCTATCAGTAAACTCAAAAGGAAATCTGGGGTGTAATTCCTACGCAGTATCTGGCGTAGTCTGCGTGTTCTGCGACGTTGAGGATTCCCCAGCGGAGGTATCATACAAATTCGCGTCTGTAAATCCATTACGCCGACAATACTCGAACATCAAATTTAAGTCGTCATCATTGTCAATTGAAATACTGAATTTCTTTTCCCTTTCGCATATGAACTTCAGTGAAAGAGATTGCATTGGTATTTTAAGCCTTTCCGCCACTCGATATCTCAAGCTGATTATTTCTGTATTCTCTTTGATAACGACGAATACACCGTCACCACCTTTGTTGCTTTTTGCCTTCGTTACCACGCATAGAAGAGATCCATCCGCCATTTTATTACAGGGAGTAGTTGAAGAATCGAAGAGGCTTTTATTGAGGAGAATTAAGTGGAAGGAACAACTTAGCTTGAAGGGGAATATAGCTGGTGATAATATACCGTGATAATTTTGGAGGGAAATGGGAATTTCCCCCCAAAAAAAAGTCATTCTAATCACCATTTAATGCCTACAGTCGAAACGATGGGTTTCCGTCGTGAGGGGGGGGCAGAGCACGTTTTGGGTTGTTTTGGGGGCTGGAAGCAATTTTCCCTAAATTAAAAGCAAAATATATTCAAAGCTCCAAACAAAACCGTTAAAGTCTCAATCGCTAGAGGAAAATCTAAATCTGCAGAAAAAAATATCAATCAGAAAACCTCAAAATCCTGCTTAAAACCTTTTTGACTATTTTAAGAACCAAAAAAATTTCACTCAGAATGTCTATGCATACAAATAAAACTACAGGGAGTTTATTCGCAATTGAGTGATACCAAATATGTCTATTGGCTATTAACCCTTAAATAAATTTGAAACTTAAAATTTTATACTTATGTCCAATAAGATGTGAGATCAATTTCTAGAATCCATAGAAAAAAAAGTGAGAACATCAAGAGAATCTCTTCGTGCCTCTTATTATTCTCTTATAGCTGTCAAAAATAAATCAACATATAATTATTGCTTTACTTATGAAGATTGAGGAAACTTTTAAACGAATTTAAGGGGTGTTTGTTTGTATGAAAGTGAAGAAAAAAAGTGTGAAGGTGACATGCTTTTTCCACTCCACGTGTTTGTTTTATTAAAGCAAAAGTGAAATGCAAAATAACTACAACATAGGATTTAATGCATTGTCAACTTCTAAAAGTGGAAGAGTAGGGACCACTATTAACTAAATCATTTAATTTTTAATTAATTATTTTCTTTTTTCCTGGTAACAAACCCAAAATATCTAGCTCTTTTTTCCCCCTACGTTTCTCTATTTCTCTTGCATACTCACAGGCCTCAAGCAATTAAATACAGTAAGCCCTAGACCATAATTGTATGATATTCTATATAATACATATAAACAAATGATTGGTATTAGCCTTACCGGCATAAGGTTACCTAATGGTTCGATATTCAATTAATTCATGCAATCTTTGGTTAGCTTGGCAATGTTTTTCAAATTGTCACTTTTCTACAGTTGTCGTACTTGTAATGTATACTTCTTCATGTCACAGTACCTAGTATATATTTCACTGTCGGTCCATTCTTCGGTTCTAAGAACCCAATCATTCAAATTGTAATATAATTTAAATAAAGAAAGAAAATATTCTCCCAACTAAATAAAGAAAATGATATTGCCCCGTCATCTTTGTTTTTCTACCTTCAACACTATTTTCATTTTGAAAACAAACATTATATGTCGCGTACGTGCATGATGTCGTGGATGCACTTCAGCACTTCCAAAAAAAAATGACTATCACTCTTTCATTTCAATTTCAGTTTGCCAAACACCCTCTTATGTCCACAGAAGAAAACTCCTCAGATCAGTGCTGGGAGTTGAGAGCATCAAGAGCATGTGGAATTTGCTTTCATGCTAAGGCATTGCCAGAATGAGCCTAAACAGAGTGCAGTCAGCAAGTGATTTGATAGCAAACCAATGCTATTTTTCTCTCCATTGTTATGCTTGCTAACTGAACCTTTTGAGTACTCCAATCCCCTTGGAAAAGTTTGTGAACCTAGCATATTCATTAAGGAAGCAAACATGTTGCTAGGTCTTTTGCTTTAACAAAGCATTCAATAAAACTGATACCTTAATAGATTCAATAGTATTGCAACCTTTTTTTGGGAATTTGGAGACAGCCAGATCCCATCCTTTTACTGATTAAAGGGAGCACACGCAAAGTTTGAGGCTCCTCTGCTAGCTTTTGCTTTTGTGTTGCTCCTTAAGATTCAGTAAGTTTGAACCCCAACTGGACAGGAAAAAGCCTTCCATGTCATTCATAGCTTGCCACCATCACAAAGCCATTTTGGGCTCCCTTTACTTTGCACGTGCTATGCCACCAATCTTGCCTTTGATAGAGCAGAAGCGACGAGGGTAAGGACCACTGAAGAGATCTTGTGCATTTTGCGAAGATCAAGAGAAATCAAGAGTGTCAGAAAAGAATGGTTTCAAGCATTTGGCTGGTGCGTTCATAAATGAACTTTAGCATAAAAATGATGAGGTTGTTGCCGTGTGACTTGAAGATCATGAGTTTGAGTCTCGGAAACATTTTCTTTGTATTGGGTTGGGGGGTGTGGGGGGGGTTGAAATTATATATATATGTCATGCATGTCCATGTAATCTGCTTAGTTTGATGGATAACAAATCTTCATATTGGTATAATTTATGTTTGAAAGGCTTTACACAGGTTGTAAGAATTAGAATCAAGTTCAATATTGAAAAGAGCAAGACAATAAATTAACCATAACTGATTCTGGAAAAATAGCAAGGGTGGAATTTATTTTTGAGTATATAGTGTTGGAGTTGTAACTTAAAACTTGGGTTTGTAGAGGAAAAGAGGAAAATTTTAGTCCCACGTTGGAAAAGAGATGGGAAGATAAGTTCTTTAT